CTCGGCTTCCTCCTCTTCTCTTTTTAACCACCGAGTGAGTTTTCACCAAGTCTGAAGGGCAGGTGGGGCACAAGGGGTACCTGTACTGCGCCAGGAGTTGCCAGGGGTACCCCCTCGAGGTTGCACGCATCTGAATACTCCTAAAGAAAATAAAGTGTTCCAAGTGTTACAAATCTTCAAGCGTTATCAATTTCTCTCTCTCACAAAACAGATACCCATTAAATCCTGCTTAAGTAGTTTTTCTAACTAGTGCTGTCCTAGAAGATGCAACTAAAGAAACCAGTAACAGAGGAGTGAAGTGCATCCTCTGCAAGGGAAAAAATTTCTCTTGAGGCGAAGCAAGGGCCTGAGCCTGTTAAACCGCTGTGAGACTCTGAGGCTGGAGAACTCAGCAGATGACTCACATCTGTACTTCCCCCCCTTCTTCTTTTTTTCTTTTTTAAGGAGGCCAGAGATACCTGTTCTTAAGCAAGAGAAGAGCGACTTCCTGGGCAATACACCACATACCCAGTTTACCGCCTATAAAAAGCCGCCTTTCGCACAAGCTCCCGGCGCTCGTTGGGGACGCACCCCTCGCTGCCGAGCACCACGGGGCTCTGACTCACCCGCTTCACCCCTCAGAACTGACGGCAGGGCTAAAATTACACTGCTCTTCAGGGCGCTCCATATTTTGAAAGCGAGACCGATTGCGGTGCTCAAGTCATCCACCTCGGCCTGAAGTCCTGAAAGCGCCTGCTTAGACGTAATTCTGAAACGCAGACTTGAGCGGTGTCGGTGCCGGAGTCGTGCTTAGGATGTCAGAAGAGGAACACAGTTAGTGAGCAGAGATGCCACTAACTTACCAACAGCCCTTGAAAACTGATGAGGTGAGGGGAAAGCGCTTTTTTTTTTTTATTTCTTCCAGAAAGCACCAAAACCGAGGTTGATTTCAGATTCCACATACCGAGTCCTTCAGGCTGGACAGATATTAGAAGCAAACCCAAGATAAAAAGCACAGCCACGCGTTAGTGGGAAGTCTGACTCACGGTGCCCACACCGAGGCTGCTTCCACGCTCCACAGCAAGTTCTCCGCTCCCGGTGGTCGCTCCTCTCGTTCCCAGTGAGAAGGGAAATAACGCTCAGGTGCATCAGCAAAGCGACCGGCTATCACAGATCTTGCAGCCAGCTGTTTCAACGATGCAACTGATTTTTTTTTAAGCCAAGAGACTTTTCTTTGGGAGGACTATCATATTAGCAGGGTTTAATTTCCAATTAGGGATGGCAGGCACATTTTTTCCGAACCCTGTCCATGAGGATCACGGCCCTGTGACTGGGGGAAAAAAAAGCCCTGCTGAAGCGTGAGTCACGGCACGGTTTGGGAAGGGTGCTCTCGGGAGTCATGCTAACTGCTGCTGTAACAAAGGTCCGATTTAAAACGATAAGTGCTGACTTTTTGAAAAATGACTAAGTACTACAATGAAAGAGACATGAGTTTACTCTTCTGGAGCCTTGTCTCCAAACTCCAAGTAGTTTAATTAAGTCAGAGTAAGTTCATTTACACAGCCACACCCTTAACTGACATTCATGTAGACAGAGCCTAGCCTAAATACCCAGGAAGAAAAAGGCTTTGCGGAGGATTGCAGCTGCGGTGGAACCCACCGCCCCTGTACCGAGGTACTCCCACCTGGTCAACTGATGTTTCCTGCCGATTCCCGAAAGCTTTGCCACAAGGAGACAGTTCCGAGCGGCTGACGCCCGGCCTCGCACCTGCAGTCGTGGGTGCTGGGAGCTACCTCAAAACCTCCACCATCCCCTCTGTCAGCAAAGCCCCCGCCCCAGCAGCCTGACAACCCGGCTTCAGGCTGGGATCCGTGGGTGGTTCCTGTAACATCGCTGCCTTTCCTCGGGCCCGCGGGCCGGCAGCTGTTGCAGTAACCGTAGCCCACTGCGTGCACCCCGGCCCGCTGCTCGGGTCCTGGCCCCCCCACGCATTCCCCGCTGCACCTGCCCAAGTCCTTTTATCGCCTCGCTCGTCTCCTATTCAGGCACCAAAGACGTCCCAGCCTCACATCTGTCACTCCACAAACACCCCTATTCACTCATCGACCCTTTTGTCCAGCACTGCATTTCCGACACCAGCCTAACATCTTCCCTTTCCGACCAAGTAATTTCTTCCGTGAAACATGGCACCGTCCTGCTCGGTGACGGTCCCTCCGTGCTCTCTCACGGAGCCGGTCACCTTCCCAAGTTACGTGGGGCTGGCGCTCAGGCAGTATGAACTTGACACTAAAATTTGTTAAAAATTGTTAACTGCAAGTGGGAGTATTAAAGTAGCATCCTTTCCACTTATAAAAATAATCACTAATCCAAGTCCCAAAGGAATTACAGACAGGCTTTCAAAACCGTGAGATACAGAACAGAGACCTCTTTATGTTGGCAGAATGCTCTACTCCAGTACCATATTGCCCCTTTCTGTTTCTCTCATAATTAAATATAAGTAACATACCAGGAGAGCTCCGCTGTATAATTGCTTTATTTTCTGCTTATTAGTTCTTTACCAACACTACAGCCATATTGAGAACACAAAATTCCTGTTTACTTTAGTCAGGGAGATCACAGTCTACAAACTCATTCACTTATCAGACACGATTAATGCCATTCAAAACTTACTCCATAAATTCACATGAACACAAATCGATGCACTTAAACTCCAGATTAGTTTTTAAATCATAGGATTTCTTACAGATTGCCACTTTATCCTACAGGCTATGTTTACTGCCCGATAGCCACTAGTTCGTGGTAAGGTTCAGCTACAACCTATAAAGGACATGTTGAAAGTGAAACCTTTGTATTTTGTTCAGTAGCAATGGCCATTTATTTTTGATGTCTCTGCCACGTTTTTCATTAACTTCTTCTCCCCCCAAAAAAAGACATTAAAAAAAATTCAGAAGCATAACCAGTTTCCTTTCACCTACAAAAACAGAATAACAAAGTTACTAAGGAAATACAAAATTGTGAATTCAACGCAAAGTCTAGCAAAGAAGTCTGCCCCAGCACTTGAAGAGAAAACACAATAAATCAACTTAGACGAAAAATGAAGTTATTGAAGTTTTCATGTTGACTGAGAATAGGTTTAAGAAAGTTCAAGAACCATTAATAGAGCTTCAAGTTTTCCAGTTTAGGCATTTACTTTGTGCTTGGCTATTTCATTTATGCTCCAGAAGAAAACAGTAACCATATTCTTGTATTTTTAGTCTTTATACCACCACATTATTGGTTAAGTTACATCAACAGGAAAAAAAAAAAAAAAAAAAAGCAGCTAGAAATTAGAGCAATGATATTCCAATGGCAAAAAGCCTTGAGTGAAAAAAAAATAATTCTCATCTCCTCTTCTTTAAAGCTGAGATTTAAGAGTTATTCTACATTAAGCTTTTGCAGACTCTCTTTAACTCACAAAGGCTTACAGTCAATCAATGCTCTATCTTCTAGCATCAAGAACCCATTCAGTCCCATTTGCAACCCACATCAAGATACGTCGTTTGGAACCATATTCTAAAGGAACTTTTAAGTGGTCCAAAGCTCCAATTTCAGAAGTGAATTCAGTATTTTTATCTTCCCAGACATCTTTGGTAAGAGCTCCATATACAATACACTTAGTAAGCAGAGTCAACACTGCAGAAATGTAGTGTAATGCCCCCAAATTCACGTGAAACTCATATCCTTGGGGAAAAAAAAAAAAAAAAAAAAAAAAAAAAAAAAAAAAA